GCGGATCTTTGCACTTCAAAATTCTTCTTTAAGTATCTTATAATTTTGTTTGGTTGACATTACGAAACGGTCACTGATGGCTGTAAATAGTTATAGGTCTGTAATGGCTTCGTTTTGTTGTAAGATATGTACTTCTACTTTCTACGTTGCCTTACCGAGATATGGAGCTTCCTTGCTACGTAGTCAAAGGTCAGAATATTACGTCATTGGTGTTGTTGACAGTGTTGATGAATTTGCAGTCTCGGATATTTAACTTGACGTTTTAGCAGAAATTTATTTTGTAACACTTTGCAGTAAAATGTCAGTTTACGTGATAAAGTGAATTTAGAAATTTAGACACCTTTCCGTTTTACAATAATTCAACTAAATTTTCGACAGTCTTGTCGTGCATTATTTGACCAATACTAAGCGGTCAAAACAAACATATGGTTCTATAAAATACCGTGTAGCCAGTTATTTTCGCGGGTATGTTATATTTGCTTTCTGCCGGTACATTAATGTGATCAGGAAATATAATCTTTGAAATAATGAGACAAGTGTGTTTGACTTGTTCTTTTACATCCAGACCGCGAAATTTCAATTCGTTAAAACACAGTTCGATCGTCCTAAATAAAATATCATGGAAATTTTGACTAGTGAAATTTATCATGTATACAATACGTGGAAGGCTGACTATTTTCACCGCTCTAATATTTTCTTTTAAAACGACCGAATGATATTTCAACGAATGAAATTTTTGCCGTCTGGACGTGAAACGGTGTCCAATACACTCTAGTCTCAATATCGTATGGGTTTAATTTTCGCAACCACGTTAATATAACGGTAAAGAATATCATCCCTGTGGAAACACCTAGTTATACGGGATTTATGGTTTGATTTTTATTATACTTTATATACATCCTTTTTTAATTGTAATATATAATTCCGTAGTTATAGTGCTGCTATGTGGTACATGCTGTCAGATTCTAATATAGCTTCCTTTAAACAGAACAAAAAGTATTACGTGACCTTTGGACGTTCTTTACTTATTCCACAAGGCACCACAATGTTTGTAGTCGTTAGAAAATGTTACATATATTTCAATGTGATTCAGTGCCATCGTTGTCGTCAAGGAACGCTTTTCATCATGGCACGGTCCTGCCAAGATGCCAACACACAAAGAAAAGTGGTCGACAGATTGGTACCACATTTTGTTCAGGTGACAGCAGAGTTATGCTCTGATGATCGTACTTGTCCAAAAGCATTGGGTTCCTCGGTTCCTTTCCGAAGTAAGGCACACTTCACGTTCCTAATACTATCAACAAGATAATATCACTCTTACTTTGTCTAAACTTTAAGAAAGTTTAATCCTTACGAAGGAATCTGTCATGGATTTACCTGTACAGTTATACGATTTCTGCTGTATGTTGTGTAAATTATCGTGAAAATTGAACTATGTAAGGAGTAGTAACGTTAAGACGTTCTTTCCATTACACGAATCCTTAATATCATTGCGTGCATATGTTAATCCAAATGCGAGGTTACGACCAGTACTTCCGGTGAATGTGAGACGAATTTTAAGTGGCGATGTCCTCCAGATTGTAGTTTCAGTATAATCGCTGATGACGAATTTATTTCTAACATGCTACATTGTTTCTATCGTTTATTTCGTAAGCATGTATAATGTGGAAAAGATCTAAAACAGACGTAGACTCAAAAGGATTCCATAGAAAACCATTAAACTGTCACACGCTTTTCGTGTCGTCACGAACACATACGTTGTGTAAATAGCTGTGAGTGTATATGGACATTTATTGTGAAAGGAGACATGTGCATTGTAGTGACTCAAAGTCCTTGGTAAATTCAGTCAATAATGACACCTGGAAGAAGGCTCCTAGTATACTTATTACACCAGGTAGAATATAAACCCTAAAGGTTTTCCGCGAGAAAACATATGCAATATATTTTATTTGGTTCCGAAAATCACTTAATGTTAATTCCCGAGGTTTGTTGTAACCTGCATGCTATGTTTAATTCACTCGAATAGTGGCATGGTTAAGAAAATAGAAAAAAGATACGACATTCTATTCGTATATGAGAATTATGAAATTTATTTAATCATGGGGCAAATTCATTACTTCTTCAGGATATTGACTTTTTTCGATCATTTTTAGATTTTCCCCTTTAGCCGTCTGAAAGTGTTTCTCAAAATATATAAAAATATACTCCTGACAATTTCACTGAGAATAAGACCAGGTGTTTCGGAAGAGTAGGCGTCTTCTGCGTCATTTAGGAAATTTAAGATAATTTTGGTCACATGAATGTTTAAATGTGAGATTATCACGTGGTTTCCCATGCCACTTTAAAATCCACCTTAGCACCACACTGGTAGTCTCCATTGTGAGGTAATTATATGATCTGTATCGGTGGTCTGTGATTTGTGAGTGTGTGACGTAAGTGGATAATGAACTTCATAACATGTGATATTACACAAATAGAATACACACAGGTATTACATCAGTGTATTAACCGTATAATGCGGTAATCATACCATGATTCAATTCCCTTTGGTGTAATACGCTTGCCCAACATTACATATCTTATCTATTTCCTTTTTTGGTCCATTTACTTCAGCAGATTCGTTGACCATACTTAAACTTTTTGATATGTACTCATATGATTGCTGTTTTGCTTCCCGTTGTTGGTGTCCGCTGAGAATTCCTTTTCGTCGTCCTCAGTAACCAAATTACTGCCCGCGCAGAACGGTGGCTAGTGTTTTTTCACCTAGTCTTTGCTGCCACGACAAATTGTCCCCATTCATTCTAAAGGGACCATGTTATTATACCTCGGCAGAAGGTCAGGATAATTTATAACTTCACATCAATGGTAGTTAGGTAGCAATTGCGGCCAAGCCAAATAGGTTATGCCACATCGATTTTATATAACGTTAATGATGTTAACACTTTTTTTCTATGAAAATAGAATTAAACGCATGATCGGACATACTCATCCTTTGTCAGATTTAACATGAAGGCAAAACCAGACACATTATATAGAAATATAAGAGTATTCATATTTCAGGAATTGTGTCAAACGTCCAAAGTGAAATATTTTATAGTTATCGTAAAGGAAAGGGTTACATAATATTCTTCATTATTCATTTGATAAAACAGCTAATCGTTAATGCGACACATGTTTTTTTTTTGATGATATCTATTGACGCTACATTTTAAAAAAGATTTTATAGATAATAAACAAAATATCGATTTGATACTGACAACACATTCTTTATATGCAACATTTCCTTGGTAGGTAATTAAATGTGAACCATTAAGCGTCAGAATGTAAGCGGCAACAATCATTGTGCAATTGAACATTATGGATAGGTCTGTAGCAGCTACATAGACATACAAAGAAAAATTCTGCTGCCAAATCAAAGATTCCACGTAGTTCACAGTTGTTGTCAGACCATAACATTATAACTGGTATACTTCAGGGTTCTATTAAAGGGCCAGATCCGTTCTTTAGATTAAAAACACCACTTAATTTCATGAATTAAACAAAAAATGACACCAAGAATTTAAAGCACAACACAACATTACTGTATGGAGACTGGTTTACCCACTAATCGATACCTAAAACTGTAATTTTGTGGTAGTCTAGAAATACAATGGTATAAGACATCTGTACGAAGGATATTAAACGATACAGATCTTTATCAAACCCAGTTTATGCAGATATAAGTGTTTTTGTAGATTGCTGATATTGCGATAAAACGATTAACGGCAGATAATGTGTTTAATCGGTAATTGTCTATAAGGGAGAGAAAGTAAATGTTCTTTGATGAGAGTGGTAGTTATAAACCCAATGATATTTCTACCAACGCACGACAGTCATGTGACACAGTTGAGATTTTCCAGAATGAAGAAATTTAGATTTTATTCTTAAATTTATCGGAGTTAGAAAATTTCTCTCGAGGGCACAAATACGTATAGGAAAAGACTTTACTGCTTTTTACCTTGATATCGAGAATATTATCATATCATGTCGGTTACTTTGGATTTCATTAATAATGACACGCAGGAATTATAAAATGTTACTACAATATCTAAGACTAACATTATATTAAAAGGTATTATTAACTTGTGTGTTTCTGTACAATCTTCTTGATGGCTGGGGGTAGATACTGCTGATGAACTTTTAGTTGTTGAGTTTTGCCGTAACCTGCATGACACTTTATTAATGTATTAAAAGTTCGTCAAACATAAAAATTACAAAATATGTTTATTTATGAGAATAGTGCATCTCCCGATCAAGATTTTGACATTTCTTTCAAACACTTCCTAGGTTTTAAATCTTAGTCCCTTAGCATCACTGACGACTCTTAGAAGGACGAAACAGCTTTGTGATGCAGTCTTATTCATTGTTGGGCTCTCCTTTATCTACTTCTAAAGTCACGTTAAAAGGCGCTATTCACTCGTGTGTGTTATGTGTGTATCATTTCTATGTTATTGTGAAATAAGTAAAGCTGACTATTTTGAAGGAAACCACAATACCAGAAGCAGAACCAAATATCTTTTTTTCACATATGACGGGGAACACCAGAACCATATATATGTTTTATATATAATGGGGAACACCAGAACCATATATGTTTTTCATATATAATGGGGAACACCAGAACCATATATCTTTTTCACATATTATGGGGCACACAAGAGCAAAATATTGCCAGGCATAACATATAGGACCTTCCAAACTTTCTATAATTGAGACTATATGTAAAATTAATAAGTTAGTCACCTAAATAAATAAGTAAGATAAAAGAGATACATATGCTTTTGTTTGATATCACTTCATTTCCTATTTTCATGACTTTCCGTCGACCTTAAGTTTAAATTTTGATCATATATCAACTGTTGTAGTTTTAATGCTGTTTTATTATTATTTTACTGAGGGACGTAAATTAACATCTTTGTTCAAATTAAATGTTGATATATATGTTTGTTTTGTTTTTTCAGAGGGACAAGTGGTATCGACATAGCCTTACAGAAAGTAGATATTGACCAATGTCCGCAGCCTGAAGGGGCCACAGAACCAAACGTCTTTGCGGGCTCAGCTCGATGTAAACCCTCCACAACCAGGGTAAATATATTTCAGATGACATTGAAACAGATTTATACCTTTTCAATTTTTGACATCACATTGTACTGAAAATCGGAATAGGCAGGTTTTTTTAACCTACAAAGTAATATCGTCTTCAGTGGGGATCCTTCGGTGATGGTTGATTTGACCAGAACTAATGGATATATATGTTACCCTTAAAATCACAAAATTCATCAGTACTTAAGTAATATGTAATGTTATCTGTCTCTTATTTCGTGGACAAATATTTATAAAGTTAGACCATCCACATAATCAACAAAAGTTAGTCCCCCAACGAAAAATTATGAATTTACAGTATGTAGGTAAATGCATATATTTGTTAAAAAAAATTGTTCAATTAATAAATTGATACATTTGTTTAAATAAACAAACATATAGGTACTCGATGGTTCTTCCACCTACGCCCATTGTTGGCGGAATCCATAAAAGCAATTACTAGCTTCACTTACATTGTCCCCTATTATGTTTCAAATCAGCCGCGATAATGTTTTGTCCTCACTTGACACTATATGCATAATCATCCTTTTTGTGTCTAAAAAAAGGATTTAAATTTTAAAAAATACTAATAAATCACATTGATATTTGGGTTTTACTACTCAGCATTATAGGTTGTAGCGCTTCAGTGTTCGAATTTTGATGGAGTCGATTGTCACTTCACATTAATTTGGCTAATGATGAAATCTAATTCCTTTTAGTGTGAGCCAATTCCACGATTGGGGTTCCGTCGTGGTTCATACAAATGTGTTTGCCTCGATGGATATTACTTTCCAAACCTTGATTCGCCTCATCGCTACTTCAATGGTACCGAAGTGGAGTACGAGTACGCCAAAAGGTCGAGGGTATGTATCAGAACTACCAAGGGGGCGTGTCATTTTAGTGGTATTTTTATAGACATGAAGATGTAAGGTGGTTTGAAAGAATAGTCCGCTTAAAGTCACATGCATTTCAAAATACGATTTTTATGGGCTATTGAAATCACCATGCGTCAATGGTCCTTGGTCCGTCCATCCCGCCGTAAACAATTTTTGTTATCGTTATTTCTTGAGAAGTCCTAGATGGATCTTTCTGAGATTGCACCGATTAGTTTCCTTTTATCCCTAGTTGTACCCATTTCATTTTGGGACTGATCAAAAGAAATGAAATGTCTGGCAGATGGCCATCTTGGATTATGACTTTTCAAGTTTGTTATCGCTATTGCTCGAGCGATATTGGATAGATCGTTCTCAAATTCCATACATCGGTTCCCTTGGTCTCCAGTTGTGCATATTTGATTTTGGTACTGATCAGAAACAAAATGGCACGCAAGCGGCCATATTTGATTTCGGCTTGTAAATATTGTTATTCCAATTCTGAAGTACTGAATGGATATCTCACATTTCATACGTATGTTTCATTTGGTCTCTCCTTGTGCCCGTTTGTTTTTACGACTGATCAGAAGAAACAAAATGGCTCCCAGGCTGCCATTTTGGATTTGGCAGGTAAAGATTATCATCGCAATTTCTGCAAGGGAATGCTGAAATGTATTATCATTAAGAGCAAAAAAAGATATACGAAGAGAAAAGATGGGAAAAGTTCCAACAATGGTGGGCGCCAAGATTCCACTGGGATCTCTCGTTAATTAAATTGTATGTCTTTATAAATTTTCATAAGTGTAATCGGCCTAAAATCAATATTTCTCTAAGGGATAAGCAGCTATTTAATCTTGTAACTCGAAATGCATGTCAGAACTATGATCAATAATAACAATTAATTTCGACAAAAAAAAAAAAAAAAAAAAGGCATATAGGTAAGAAACGAAAGTGTAGGGGGAAAAGTAAGGGAAAAACCTTTGGTTGTGATAAAGAATACTTAGAGGTTACATATATAGAGATATATTGGCACACCAAGCGATCAACATTGTATATATTTAATTTAGTCACTAGATCTGAAAAAAAAATTATTAAAAATATGGTTTAGTTTTGAATTAAGATGTTTGTGTTTCTATCGTACAATCTTCCTTTGCGAATGTGCACCACATGACATAATCAAAATGCAGATTTATATGGAATTAATTTACGATTAAAATGTATGCTATCACTTCTAAACTCACAAGCAGTAATCAACTTGCATTTTGTTCTATCGAAGGGGGAAGAGAACGTGTATGATATATCGTTTGAATGCCTGCCATGCGCAGCCGGATGTGACACCTGCGAGGATCCCTCTCCCTGTATCCTAACACTTAACTGGATGCAGCGTAGCGTCGTTCTGGGTGTCTCGGGACTCATCATGTGTTGCATTCCTTTACTGATATGGTTTACGGTGCATTATCGAGATGTCAAGGTAAACTTCTTTTGCCAATATTCGGTAATCCTCTTCTACTATCATACTCAGTAGCTTTATATAAACTATAGACTATTAAAGTATATTATATTTTGATTCGTCTAGTGGCATCAATTGAATGAATATCGCGGCTAAAACATCACACGAGTACAATGTGGTGGCATGGTTGATTTTTCAAATCTAGGAAAAAATAAAAAGAAACATTTTATCTTATCACTAGTGTCTATTTCCAATCATCCACTGTAAGACCTTCACCACATTCAGTAGAGTATGTATAAAAATTCATGCTGTTTTCTCTCACGAACCGTCTTTAATTATTTCTGCTGAGTCATATGGACATTCAAGTTAAATGCGTGACGCCGTCAGTCAGCTTCGTGATGTTAGATTGCACAAGGATGATTTTTCATTAGACAACTGTAACTACTAGAAATACAACACGTTTAAAAGTGTTAACCAAACCTGAAGCCTACATCTTATGCAATAGGATTTCGTTAATAATTAAATAAATATCTATAAATATCTATGATTAGATACATGGATGTTAAATGGACTGGATATGAGACTTCTTGTATCTCTTTTTTAAAACTACAGCGGACTGATAGCCTTAATTACTGTGATGGTATACCATTTCCCGAAAAAAGTATTTTAGGAATCACTTCCACATCAACTGTAGTAGGAAACTACACATTCCATACTGAACATCTTGCTTTTGTGATGTGGTAGAGCGAATATTAAAAGACACAAATATGATATGGTGTCACCATTAACATCAGCATATTTCTAAATTCACCTGCGCTATTGTATATATAAGTATTAAACCAAGATTGTGACGTCATTTTGGCGCCATGTTGTCCTGCATTATCTCGGATAACGCGCGACAGAGCTTTACATCAGCTTTACCAGTAAATGAAAATACAAGGAAAACTATTCATAACTTGACGAAAAAAAAATTCAAAATAGTATCTGAAACAACAAAAATAAAGACATGTAAACAGATTCATTCAAATTCTATGAAACATGGACAAAATATGAGCTAGGGAAAGAATCATAAGGGGACTTCAAACAAATCAAGGGAATGGCAAAAGACTAGATAGATGTAAAGGATAGCGGCTTTTGGTTAACCATCAGGCATACTTACAAGTATAAAATATTTCATATCTTCTTCCTAATCTTCATCAACCTGCATCTCACAATCACACAGTGTTATGTATTTTCTTCTGTCATGTGTTCAAAGCAACATCGTGATATTGGGAGCAAGCTCTTGAATGTCGAATCTACAGCGACATTTTAGCACAATATGCTGGGTGTTCTAATCGGAATAATCTGTAAGCTAATAATCGATACAAATGTTATTTATATAAAATTAAAATAGGAAATTTCATGTCAGCGAAAATTGTTAAAAACAATAATAACTAATAGCGAATCTCATGAAAACGTTAGCATAGCTATATCGACAGCCAGAAGGTATCGCTCTCTCACACAAAAAGCTCTTTACACAAAAGTAGACTCAGAATAGTTGTTACTTAACACCGGAGGCTCTTCAGGATTTTCCAAAGCCATACATTAATATTCTATTAAGGCTTTAATAACCTTTTGCTATTAAGATATAAGTGTTAATTACAGCACAGATCGGTCAACGACACGTTTACGATTTCTTTAGACATCAAAAGTCTACCGATATCTATCCGATAGCAAATCGATGTATGGAGACTTGTGCCTTAAATGGCTTGCGATATTTAAACGACGCCGCGTTTACCTTGTCTGAAAAGAAAAAAAGGCTTCTTTAGACTTCTTTATAATTGCATACTGCTTGCAGCTAACAGACTAATCATATGTGACCAAAGTGCACTTGATTTTTTCCGTTTTTTAAACGGAGGTAGCCGAAGGCTTATCCTTGTTTCTATTCTAAATGGATCATTATATAACCGGTCGTCTACATGTTGTTATCACTTTGGCGAATGATTCATACATATCATATCACAACAACCTGCGCCAAATGAGTCTGTGCATTATAAAAGAGATAATATTTCAAAGTATTAGGCCCTTGAGACGCTGACGAGTCCTATAAGGTTGCAACAGCTGCATGGTGTAGTGTTTAATCTCATTTGGTTCTACTATATCCTATTCTTAATTTGTATTGAAATATGCCAATAATAATCGAGAGATGTATGGATAAAAAAGGTGCAAAAACAATGGATTTAACTCACTAGGACAAAATTTGGAACCAAGCAATAAAAATGTTAAAATGGTAGCTAAAGAGTCTAACAATGAGAGAGAAGAGTGAAAGTTACAGCTTATGCCACTTATACCGTCAAAATGTACTTTTTATTATCATTTCCAGTTTATCAATCGTCAGTGTCGTAAAAAATTTCTTTGTAAAGTGTGTTGATAGACAAACTCTCATTAACTTTACACTTGCTTATTATACTGAGATTTATAAGTCAATTCTACAAGAATCACGGTGTAGCTTAACATAACTACTTAAATTTTCCTTTGATTATGAAGAGCATTATTCTTTACTTTGTCATTGTTAGCGCCAGATATTAAAGTTTCTATCTCAAAATTCAAAACAGTATGTATTTTAAACTTCAAATATAAGTGTATATATGAGGTCATTATGTAAAAAAAAATGTACAAATATGATTTCAATTAAAAATATGACTCAATAGCTTTTTATCCATAATTTTAAAATCATTTTTTTTTAAATAAAAAGATCACTACTATTGAACAAATGATTTAAAGAACACAAGACCTCAATCTGTCAAAAATGATCGTTTTTTGTCAATACTTCGAATGGAAACAAATTAAAGTGATTATTAACTTAATGGCGAGTTATTGATTTGAACATATATTATTACCGTAATTCCTTTACGCATCCCATATAATTATGTTGTCTGTTTTATTATGGTCCTAGAAATAAACATCATTTCATGTATTTGCGCTAAAAACAAGACGGCCCGTAAAGTCAGATCAGAGAGGCAACAGGACTCTAAAACATCCACATACAAAGACCACCCATGAGGTTATAATGGATAAGTACATATTATGTGTACTTGTCAAAAGATCAGACAAAATAGCAAAGGTCGTTGAATAATTTCTCGGCAGATATCAAAGACAGTTTATAAAGTGCTGTTAGGGTGAATATGTCAGACGATGTCAGTTTATCTAGCGACAAGAATGAGACTAGTTAAGGGAGTTCAAGGCGACATGGTCACTTATTCTCTGTTAATCCTACAAACACGCTTCATTTTCTACTAAATCAATTTCAATGTGTGTCTCAAATCATGAGAGCAATTGATTTTGATTGTCATATCTCGGCTTGTTGGTTTCAGACTTTTGGCTTCCGCCACTGCTGTAGAGTGTTAAGGAGTTGAGATAGTTATATGAAACAATTTCATTGTTTTGCATATATGTATACCGTATTTAATTATAAATTCAATCCAAATGTTCACTTAATGATAATCAGCTAAAAGGAAATATCCGTAAATATTAGTTTACATTGTAGGTAAGTGTCAAGCGTAAACCATGTTTTATTTTTTCACTCGCGGAAGTTGAGGCCCACAAATACCTTATTTTACAGTATGTGGCTTGTCGTTGACGTGTTCAATTTTTCTTTTTCTATAACCACATGCAATGATGTTATGGAAGATTTCTGTTTTGGCTGTTATATTGTTAATGACTGCCTTTTAGAATTGCCCCAGATAAAAAGATTGATTACTACTCTATCGCCTTCCGGAAATGTACACAATACAATGTACTTCAAAGTGGCTGCTGAGTTCGTTTTCATTCCACATGGATCCCTCAGTCAAAGATAACTTTTTGATCATCTCCCTTGATTCGACCTCTTCAGATCGTCAACATGCTCAACGATAGCCACCTGACCATCATAGAAGGAAATTGTTCATTCGGTTCAATTAATTGTTACATGTGTACTTAAGTATCAAAGGGTATGTACTGGAAGCGACTGGTTTTCTGACAACTGGGAAATCATTCGATTATAAAATTGAATGATGGCAGCTTCGTTTGAAGCAGTAAAACATTTCGAATAATGAAGGATAGATTTTCAAATACACTGTAGTCATAAAATATAGAAAAAAAACGTTATACTGTCATTAAAGATAGTCCATTAATCACATGTCAAAGAACATTGTGATATTATGGGAACAAAAACTATTGAGCCAAAATGGTGCGGCCATGTATCTTCATTTTTAGTCGTTATCATTATTTGTTGTTAAAAGACGCAAAGTTTGGAGAATTTACGTCAAGTAAAGTTTAAAAGAAAAGCAAGAAGAATAAAAAACACGCACACACACAAACACACACGCATACACACACGCGCGAGTTTAACCATGCAGTGATTATTGTTGTACGGAATTATTTGTTTTTGAGAACGTGACATGTCTTGTTATTGAAATAGCTTTGTAATCCAATATTTTCTAAGCAGCAGAAGACTCTCCAGGTACACATGATATTTCTCCTTTCATTTTCTCGGTCATTCGCTAGTCATTCGTTTTGACCTTTCCGTAATTTGATATAATATGCTTACATTTCCTGGTTTATAGCTTATAGCCACCAAAACAACTTATGTAATGAGAAATTTAAACTTCCGCTGGCAACCACAGGATACACGGTATACATGGTGGAAGCAAATGCAATAATCCTTTATTAATCCGTTTTACTCCAGACTTTGTAGTGATTCAGAGACTAACAATATTGTTGCCTTCATCGTCTGTTATGTTTTTTGTTCTAGGTCCTTAAGGCATGCAGTCCTGTCTTGATGAGGATAATTCTCGTTGGAGCATTTCTTTTGTATTGTCCGGTTGGTAACCTTCCTTTCTGATAATAGAAATCTTCATAGAAAGGCTTTTTTAAAGGAATCTTAGTAATGGTAATAGTAACAGTAAAGGCAATGTCAATTTGTGTTAACATAGTTCTAAATTTTGGTTGTGAATGATATTTTTATTCCTTTGCGATGACGTTTCATAAACTAATCTTGAGTGCCGAATCCGTGAACACGTTTTGAAACTTAGTGATATTATTTTGCGTTACTATTAGAAACCGTAAGGATCATTTCAGAGATTCATATCAATTTTAAAAGATTACCTGATTCTTACCATTAACAAACAGAAATAAATCAGTATAATAGAAACTTAAATTATTACAATATAATATATAAAAGAATCAAGCAAAACTGAATAATTTAATCAAAGTATGGAGTTCTTTAGCTTATCATTTTAATGTGGTCATAGGTCAAGGTTAAAGAATCAAATATCACTTTTCATCATTTCTGGGTAAATTCGTTAAACATTATCTGAATGGGATATGGACATTCATGTCTTGAAGACATTCTCCCGGTATTTTTTCATTTTTAATTCAGGGAACGTGTTACCGTTGCGATCGTTTGCGAATTGTTTCATCACCTGAAGTATTATACAACTGTTATAAGTAGTTGGGCGTGTCTAGCTTACTGTCCTATTCTATATCATATAATAATCATATAATAATCAACATTGTCATACTAGTTCTTAGGTAAAAGTGCTATCAAATAGTGTTTCTATGGACTGAATTTTGTTTTGCTACATTTTATCACTATTGAAAGTGCGAAATGGTTGTATAACGAAATATACACAGTTAAAAAAGCCGATAGACATTACGTCAATAAAGGGAGGTAATTCAATTGATTCAAATAGAGACGAGAGTCCAGACAATCGCAAACGGTTTCATGTTCCGAAACACTTATCACGTCCGATGATTGAATTGTTTCCGAGCTGTTGATTAATCTGAATGGTAACACAACTCTTTCTAACCTATAGTGGACGTATTCCGTGTTATTTACCCATGAAGAAAAATATTTTTTTGATTTTGTCATTTACTGCTCTTTTGAGAATAAGCAATTCTATATTCCGTTGTACTTATCTTTGCAGTTAATTGTTGGATACTTCGAAGCAACAGTTATCACCTGCATTTTGAGATTTTGGTTTAGAGAAATTGGATTTTCAATATCCTATGGGGCCCTTCTTTTGAAAACATGGCGGTAAGTTAACACTTTTTATTGTGTTTGCAACACATGTGCAAATAGGAAGTAAGCCTATAGTTGCTGGATTTTTTAACTGTATTCACAACATCAGTGGCAAATTTGTCTAGACGGATGCGGAATGTCGCACGCACCTCATTCTATTACTCGGCCGTTGACTTTCTTGTACTTTATTAAAACTTTTTTTCTAAATGAACATGTTCCCGCTTGATAGAAAATCATCATATAATATGTATACGGTATCACATCCAAAGAAATATCAGATGAATTTAAACAAAATTCCAACTGAGGGATTTTGATGGTTATTTCTTCAAGGACTTTAAACTATTTTTCTTATTGTTGATATGTGGCAGTAGAAGTTGCTGTCGTGTATAAGTGAAGTCGATGACTGTGAGAAAATATTTTCGTTTAAATTAAAAAGTTTCGCTATATTTGTCATCGTCATAACATATCACCTCGTTGTGTTAAATTTTTCATATTGTGATGCTTAATATTATCAAATGTGTATTTTTATTTGTAACTATTTTTTGTTCAAATCAAAATGTTTATATCATATATGAAATACATATTTCATTCTTTGTATGCGACAAACACGAAAAAGTTGAAGGTTTCTTGCAATCATGCAATCTGGATTTAACTCGTTCACAGAATTTCGGTCGTCTTCCGGGTGAGGTCAGCACAACGTGTGAAAATTTCTGACGCAGACCTCATCAAACGTCTTCTCATCATCATTTTCGTCTGTGCAGCTTATCTCACAGCGAGGACTATAGCCGGCACGCCGAGAGTTATAGAAGGTTGGTAGGGCAGACACATCTTATTTCTGTTCTTGATGATATTACGTGCTGTCTAATATTGCATTTCATTTGTGTTCCGAATCTTCACAATTTCCGAAATACTCCAAATAGACAAGTTGTCAAAGCTGATTTTGCTTCACATATCCATTTAGATGGGAAATGGAAAAAAACCGACACGTCAACAGAATCTTCAACAAGTTCATAGTCGATGAAACTAGTGTAAAACATGAACTAAAGAAATAATAAAAGGGAAACTCCTAGAAACGTACAAGTAGAATAGGACATAGGTGTTTCGAAAGTTCAGCGTCTTTTGCTTCATGAGCGACATCGTCATGTAAAACTTTGAAGGTTAAATCCAAGTTAATAAAGCCGCTTTCCCAAATGAGAGCAAGTATACCACAACGGAATCAATAGGCAAACTAACGAACATCAAATATGTCCAGCTTCATATCGCACTAGGAAATGGATTATTTCTCAGTGAGAGCACCTTATAACTGCCATATAATTCTTCATTAACCTAACATTCAATATCGAATCGCACTTTATTGTAGTTCTTGGTCTTGTGTGTTTATTACTTTGAATTTTCGTCTTCACAAAAGTTAGCACCATATTGTCCACGAATGATAAAGTACCTGCTTCATGTTTGATAGTGCCACCACACTGAAATGTCTTAACTGGATACAGTAACATGACAGTAGGTATCGGTCACATTCTAATGATAACAGACTAACCTACCCACTTACATTCTTTTCGATGGTGAGCAACACACAGAAGCAGAAGGAACTGTTCAATAACTTGTGTATGTCACAGCCAGCAAGGGAACAGAGCGTGATCTTTCTCACCAAGGCAGACGCTCATTTAATATCCAGCGATGAAGAAGTATCGAGAGGAAATGTAGGAAGAAAAAGACCTTCAGAGAGAGAGAGAGAGAGACAGAGACAGAGACAGAGAGAGAGAGAGAGAGAGAGAGAGAGAGAGAGAGAGAGAGAGAGAGCAAATAAAAAATGTTAGGCCGTTCTTACGATCATGCACTGGGAAAGGCAGTTACAAATATTATACACTACCAGTAAGTATATAGAATCCTTATGTCATGCCGACATATTCATCTAAACTTTATAAAAACACTTGAAATGCCATGTGATTCCTATGCAATGCTGTAACAGTTACGTCGGATATGTTAATACATCCTGGATAAGGTTTGTTTGCGTCTGTTGCAGGTCGTAATGTAGATGACCTGAAGGCTTTCCAGTGTTCGGCAGATTGGTGGGACCATTCGGCAGCTATCGGTATTTAGAACATCAATATACATTAATAAAAATAATTGTGATTATGATATAATCATCAATGACTTAACATATATGATTATAAAATGATCATTTAATTATAATCGTCATATTTCTAATCAAGACATTATTACCACAGTTGCCATGGTATCATGATAAACTCCAGAGAGCTGTCAGATGGCACAGTGGTAACACACTGGATTTTTACCTTAAATTCCGGGATTAGATTCCCAGAATTGACGTGGCAAGGTATGGGGTTCACCTACCTGCTCATACGGGTTTTCTTTGGGTTTCCTCCCACAATAACATCACGCGCTTTTATCCAGGCCAATACGAAAGATTAATATCAGCTTAAGTCTTCTTTTGTAAGTTTGATCTAGTTTATATTTGTAAACTTCATAATACATGTAAGGCGTAATTTGGGCCGAGAGTTTTAGGCAAAACTTCAAAAGTTGTCTTGATGCCCATATCTTTTTCATATTTTTCAACACAAAAATGAGACTCAATTATCAAAACTAATATTTGTAACAAAATGTATTTACATGTATTTCAAAAATGTTCTTCCAGCTTATTTGAGCAAATTTTAAGTATTTCAAGTATTGACTTTGGTATCTTGAGCAGTTTGAAATAACCCTATTTTCATTTAGCAAAAATCTTCTGAATTCTGATGCATTTTCATGTTTTCGTATAAAGTTGAAATTTCTGTCTGATTTTCAACTGAAGCATTAATAGCGCCTCCAGATACACATGCATTTTCAACAGTTGACGTACATATTCATTTACGACATAACATATTTTAAATTAGCCTCAACTTTCTCTATTCTTTAATGAGGCGTTGTTCTGGTGTGCTTTATACAATTAGAGAAATGACATTGAAATGTATCAATATTCAACATTATCTATCTATAAACTTTACAAGGCTCATTTAATAGGTGTGATTTGTGAAGCTCAATCTAACTGATTATTTTTTTTCAAATGTAGTCCGAAACAGATTTAAAAACACCGTTTCTGCCGCAAAGTTACATAATCGACGTGCCATTGTAACATTACAACAGCATAAATTATATATACCTTTAGGGATTTGAGAACGTGCTATCATGACATAACATTAACTGGAAAAGGTGAAGACAAGATTGCATTTTGTCTGTCTTCCAAATAGCAGTCTGACACCTTCAGATTGCGAATTGATACGAAACTAAATTAATGATACGAAACTAAGTGAATACTTCATGTATCTACTATCCAATATGTCATGCGTAAATATCCATTTATTTAATGCTGACAGAAGCTATTATATTCCATAATTGAAATTCTCGCGGCAATCGTCAGTCGAGATGACAATTTGTCTTGTGGTAGTTCTATCGATTAGATGTTTATACGATATGCAATCATTAATATGTCGACTGTAAATCAGAATAATGCTAAGTAAAGCACGACGCATGCCTGAAATGGATGGCAATCAATGTATTGTTGTCGTCAGTACAAATTAGATATTCGGTAATATATTAGGCACATCTACTTGTAATTGATAACAGTCGGAACAATGCAGGGTTAATTTGATAGCGTCAGCAAAAGTTAGCATGGGTTAAATGTTTCAGTGAAAAGAAGTGTTATGATATAATCTTAAAGGATGACGTCTGAAATTGGGTAAACTCTTTATATAATTATATTGTTTTGAAGCCGAATTCGTGTATTCGATGAGTGAAAACCTAATTATCACATGTTCTTCTAATAAGTTGAAATGGGTTTTAAATCAAATAACTTCATCTCTTTAAAATGATTGTATACTTGTTTCTGTTTTAGCGGAATTAATATTCCTACTGTGGGGAATTCGCCTGTGTATAGTCGTGAGAAAAGCGCCTTCAGAATTCAACGAGAGTCGCTTTATTAGCTGGGCAATCTACAACGAGACACTGCTTTCCTTATTTCTTAATGTTTCCATGTAAGTTTACACGTCGACCTCAATTTTACATGTAGCGGAATTTCATTTTCATCTCGTAGTTTCGTAGTGTTGGAACTGTTTACCTTTCATGTTGGAATACGTGACCGTTATCCATCCCCAGCTATTCTGCTAAGAAGAGTCATATGATTTTTTTCATATGCATATGATTCTATACTTTAAGACAACAAAATTCGAAAGAAAAAAAAAAATGCTTTTTACAACTACATTTCATAACACCAGAAATATTGACGTTTATATATATGTATATTGTCCAAAAAAAATAACTGATTTCTGCGTTCAGCTCAACGCTACAATGAACACAATAAATACTAAATCTATAAATAAACAGACATTTGTCTCACCTTAGAAAAAGTTTTTACCTATGATAATGTTCGCTTATCCTGATAGTGATCAAGTTATACTATTTCTGGTGCTAATGAGTATGTCTGAAGATCGATTAGAAATTGAAATATATATCGTCTAGTCCGCTGCTTTTATAGGGGATATATCACAGGATATCCGTAGCGGTATGTGAGTTCAGACACATTATCTTAAATAGGACATGACCTTTATTGCTTTGATAGCTATCTCTCCTAAATAGGTAAAGAAATAAAACTGACGGTATTAGCTCTACAGTAAGTCAATGTTTCAACATGGTCAATTACAGGAGATTAAGGTTTTCGTCTTTTCAACAAGAAAACTATATTTTGTTGCACCGTCAATGCAGTAAAAGACTAAAGCTTCAAACTTAGCTTAAAGTCCTAATGCATTGCTCGCTTTTCCACTCAATTAATCAAATTAAATAAACAAATAAAAAAATGTTCGAATATGTGACAATATTCACATTTGACATTCTGACGTTGATAATCCATCAATCGCAGAGGTCGTTTGGTCTTTCATTAGTATTCAGTTTATTTGAATCAGATCAATAAGTTAAATGATGGTAAATGCTTTACATCAAACGTGATATACATGCTGCAGATATGCACATATAGGTAAACAATAAACAATCCAACGGGTATGTGTAACTATCGCCACGAAAGGAATTTATCTATTTCGTTTATGGATGTTTTCACTTCTCCAGTAACTCTATAGAAAATTATCTGTTAACTATGCAAAAATAATTGATTGAATTTACATAGTGATATTTTCTACTTCCTCATCTTAATAAGTAAATGTGGTTTTTTTTATATCTGTATTTCGAGATATACTGTTTAAGGTTTGTTGTGCAATTCATAGTCTTCAATGAAAGTTAAGAGTAAGTGATGCACGAGATTTTGATAATGGCATGTTTTTCGTATATATGGCATTGGTATTGAATAAACATTCAATTGAAATATTCCTTAGAAAATACTGATGTTTTCTATAGTATGAAAAAAATAAAAGAAAAATGAAACAGATTCGACCAAAGTTGGTTTATTGTAATTTTATCTTGATATATATGTTCGTTTGTGTCAATGGATAAAATAATACGACGTAAAATATAATATTATGTTTGTTGAAAGCTTCTATATATCTGTTTTCTTTCCAGGATATTTTTACAAGATCCTTTCCCCACGAATCCGGACCTTCTCCTTTTAGTTCTATTTATACATACACAACTTACCACCACTGTTACGTTAGCTTTTTTGTTTGGAAGTAAGGTAAGTATTCGATGATACAAATGTCACTGCAAAGCCTTAGCACATTTTCAGCATTCTTCACCTTTCTTCAATCTCTCTTTTCATCATATTTTGCGCTAGTTTTATCAAGTTTGGATTAAAATTCTGTAGGTGCGTTCTCTGTTATTCTCGTTTCTCAACATTCAGTTAAATGGTTAAGAGTGATTGATCATTCATGTGAAAGATGAATTTGATACTAATCCATTTAGTTGTTCTTTGATTGGCTTAGGTCTGTTACAGTTTCTAAATTTAAGATAATAACTAAATTTTACTACATGATAATTAAGCCAACTACTTTGAAATCATATAGTTTCGTAATTTTCCAAAAATATACGTTTTCGTTGGCACTTAATTTCGTGGATGAATCTTGCTCACACAATTCACGAATCAATGTCAACATATAACTCAATGGATTTTGAGTGCCGACTAATTAGACGGAAATAAACCCTACTCAAATATGAATGATTTTGCAGTGTGACATTATTATTTTTGCACTTAACATCTTGCTAATGATTTCTTTCGCACGTAAAAGAACATTTTTTCCAAATCTATGTTAACCATCTATAAGGCATATCAGATGTACGGGTATTGCAATTGGGGTTAGCCTAAAGTTACCGTTGTTTATGTGCTGTGCTGTTCAACAATTACTGCTCAGTAAACTGAGAACTAATTGAACTGTACTGTAGTGGTTGTGTTCTTGCGTCAACACATTAAAAGCGTGTTGAAACCATATGATGGGCCACCCGTATGTTATTCAGAAAGGTAGTTATCAGTTAATATGAGGAGACCCTGCCTCAAAATGTGAGGTGTATTTTGCTTTACTCATTGATGACCCCTTGAATATTTCGTTTTCGTAATAATGTACATTGATTTAACTATAACTTTGTTTATGTTATTATCCAGGCCTACCTGGTGTACAAAGGTTACAAAGGAGAAAACAGTAATCATACAACGATGATAAGTAAAGGTTCCAAGCAGCACCTCAACTCCAGTAAACCCTCATCGACCCTTAACGCCTCCGTATGTAATTCTTCCTGTAATTATAACTACTCGGAGAAGGGGGACGAAGCGGAGTGTGAAAGCTTGCTAGAAAAAGATATACAGGTAGGTAGCGCTACCCCAGGTTCAGGATGAAAATATATCTGATTAATTTGTAAAAGGATGTCATATATCTTGCATATTTGCATAAAAATAGTATTTCTATATTTGAAGAACTACTTTTGCTGCAATAGTATACATTCGTAACACACCACTAACAACGTTTTATGGGTTTTTTTTTTTTTTTTTTTAGATATTTGGAATAACATATTTCTGAAGAACTAAATCACTGCTACTAATTTTTATGCATTCGTGCTTACGGCTATGCTCTTTTATCGGAATATTTTGACTGACAATAGTTTAAGATGACTAGGCCGGTTATAAGAATACGTATACCTAAGTAAACCAATAGTCCTAAGTTTATTTATTTCTTTTGGGTCGCTTGGTATTTCATAATTATTTTGCGGCAAAAAACTCCGATAAAAGAAGACATCTCTGTTCTTAAAATCTAACTGAGTACAATATAGTGAAAAATCAATACATTCAATGCATGTCTCCGCAACGAAGCTAGCCTTATAATTCTGTGATGTCTGAAGATATGTCTGGTAAAGTAGCCTGGAAATAGAAACCAAGATACGATCAAAATAGGAATGTGACACTAGGAAGAACAGTAGTCTTGTGGCCTTGAAATTAGAGATATCAATTAGATTAGTGACAGGTAACACGAAAATCATTCTTCCTAGTGTTAATTAAGCATTAATCCACAAGTAGCGCTACTTACCAGGTGTACCTTATGCACGGTAAACTGTGGTGATTTAATTCTTTGAATCAAAACATTTATGACAAATATGAGAATTATGTGTCTAAACTTTTGAAAATCGGACTCAGTTCTCAATTTCTAAAAAATGATATTTGAAATTAAAACGTACCGATCGATTTAAAAAATCTATTTTTGAAAACAAAAAGTCAATATATTAAAAGAACGTAATCACGCAGTTTCCCATTTGAAAGAATGTGTTATTATGGCAGAAAGAAATCAGAATGATTGTTGTATATTTGTAATTGCATTTTCACTTTAACATTTTAGAGAAATATTTAAATAAAAAAAAAATTGAATGTTTTTTCCATCTCTCCATACAAGTCATTTGATTATATATTTTGTGCATATTTAATATTACTCAAATCGATTCAACACATCCTATTTTGACGTCATTATATCTTTGACCTACATTCCTTAATCTTTTGCCTTCAGCATCTTTATGACGGTATATGAGAAAATATCTATCATTTTATGGAGTGTTAATATGACAGTAATGGTGTCTGGCTCCTTCTCTCATGGACTAGGAAGGTTTTCTACATGTGATATACTGCGTGACAACTTCTCCGCGGAAAAAATTACACTGTATTCCCTCATGCCTATGCCTCCACGTTTGTAGGTCACCGCTTCATGTAACTGCTTTACCGTTGGAAACTTTGACAAATTGTTCTTATAGTATATTGAATATTGTGCTTAATTGCCATAACTGTCACTATTATGATGAAAGACAATATTTTCATCTCGATAGTTTCTTTTTAATAACATGAATTAGTAAGATATACGATGGTTAGATCATATGATAGAATGGAATGCTTATTTAGATATAACCTGGTTAGCATAGTCTTGTAATTAAAGCCCTAAACACCATTGAGATAATGACATCTTACTGTCAACTGAGATATATTGATATTTTCCGTGTTAGGTGTAAGTACAATATAGGTCCTACAAATACGGTGCCATATCAGTAAACTGCAAGGAAAAGTCTTATTACTAGGGCAGGTTTATTGATGATGAAGTTAACTGGTTTCTGTAAATAGATCCCCGTGTACTTTACATCGTAAATGGCAGATTCGTGTACTCTTGGGGATACTTAATAGATCTTTACATTGATTAAACTACGTTATATCAGTAAATTTTATATTCGGTACGACATGTAAATGTATAGGTTGATGTTAAAAAAGCGGGTCTTGAGGTTCATATCAAACAAGTTTTAATGAATTGTAGTATCTATGCATATACTTCTAGTTCATGATTTTCTAGAGCACTATCTGAGACCTGGTGGTTTACAAAATGAGTGAGGCGGTTTCCACGACAATGCGTTTATTACTTCAATTTATTTATTTGTCATTATTTGTTTTTATTTGTTTTCATAACTTTATGGAGGATGGCGGTGACGGATCTTGATTTAGATTTTTTATAAACGTAAATTGATTTCAAGCCACAATGGAATGTCCAGTCTGTCGTATTGTTAATGCCACAACACTGCTTATATATCATGGGAAAACAATATGTAGTCTGACCCGTGGTCGCGAAAAGTCAAATAATCTTCATATTACTTGGCAATAACTTATATAAACATTTATATATCATTTTCGTTTTATTTGCTGTACTCTGTTCATATAACTCAGAAACGAGTTCAACCAGATACCTATATCAATAACACCATTCGTCGCGTTCATCGCACGTGATATCATACCGTATGCTATGTTTACCTATCTGTCCTATAATGATTGGGCTTTTCATGTTTTATTGCACGGACATGTTAATCATCTGGAGGGAATAACATTTGTTTTGATATTAACATTGCATAAACAACCAGCAATCATTCGGGCAAATACACAATCATTAAAACAAATACAACACTTCAAAAAATGATCGTGTGAAAAAAAAGAGAAGAAGAATACCAATCGATTTAGGTTCATTTCCACGATATATTGAAAACACTGCTTTATCCTTTTGTTTTAATTTCAAGAATCAAACAGATACAGCAAATATAAATTAAACTGTTGACAGAAAGCGAAGTAATCATTTATACCAAAAGAAGAAAAAACCGTGACATATAGAAATCATCACATTTCCGAGCTCTTGGGTTACGTTGTATATCGCTAGTACTTGACAAATAGTTGATCCCTTTCTGTTTTTTCTGCTTTAATTTCAGTCAGTGTACAAACACTTTAATATTTTTTTATTGTATTTGTACTAGTTGAAAGCAATATCACCGATGTGATTTACGTTGTACCATGGAAACTAAGTAGATGAAACTGATTTACTGTATAACTTTTTCACATTAGTGTGCGACAATGCTACAACGGGGAAACAAAATAGGTTCAATGACAGATAGGTTGTCTCGGAATCAGCGCCTTGCGTGTCATAGCCACCTAAAGTCGGGAACAATTATCGGATTTCAGGAGCTGTATTAGACTGTCCACTGTTGTTTGTCATTCTCAATCCTCAGTCACGTTCTAAGAAGCAATACTCATTCTTGAGAAGAAGCGCTGTTAAATGACATTGACACGAATTTCACTCTGCATCAATATGAAATATGCCAACATCTGAAATATTATGGAGCTTGTTTACACCAGTCAAACCCTTCGTTGTCATGAGGTGTCTTTCATTGCCGAGTACTCGATGCAATCCATTTCTTCTCAAAGATCCAGGAAAGAGTATTTGACTAGAATCTCAAACGTGTTTTACGTTTTATATCATCGATCATCCTTCACCAAAGATGAGTAAACCAAGAAAAAATGCTCTTAAAGATTTTATGTCTGTGTTTACCATGGATAGATACAACAGGAAAAGACATTTCATATCAGTCAGTTTGCCGTTGTAATTTGTTTTTCATTCTCTATTTTCTTACTGCAACAAACGATGACCCATGAAAAAGTCGACAACCTTTCGCAAGTTAGCGTCGTAGTAAATTCTGTCTAACCTGTACAGATAGGCAGGTGGCGACGCATACAGTACACAACAATGATTGTGAAAACATTGGGTGGATTGCTGTTATCACAATGTTATATAGCCATTGTTTGTGTCTTTATTACGTGCCTTTGCTACAAAATATTGCTCTGTTGGTATTTTTTTTTTTATTTTGTTTTATTAAACTTATTTCACAAGATATTTCCGAATTCGTATTATTTATACGAAACTTAAAATGTTAAATTTTGATACATTGGCTGCTTACCATTTACTTTAATGCTTTTCATGGTCATTTTGCATATTCTTTCTCTTAACAATATTTTCCACGTCCTTTCATCTATTTCATCAAGCATTCAAATTTACAAGTGCTTATAATAATGTTTGAGAACACGTGAAAAACTGATGTTGTTTTTTCATGTCAAATGTCTTTTGTGCTGTATCCTGCAGTATTTGATATGTTCATTTAAAATTTCAAACGGAAATTTTGACACTTCCCATTTCTATAGTTTATAATTAAAATGCATGAAGAGACTTGACACAATAAGACACCTTCTTCTATCAACTGTGTTCCGATGTTGAAATATATATGATATATGAAAAGCTGATTGGCATTTCTGAAGTCGTGGCAATCTATTACAGCTCCTATTGAACTGTATAACCTAAACGTGTTTAGGAGAGCGAGAACAGAGCGAATACCTCCTGAATGTCTCCTGATAAATAAGTCGAGCTAGAAAAAAGTCCTGATTGAATTGTTTGGTGGTGACACAGTGACAGAATGCGGTGGAAATACTAACAAAATTAGTCGCAAACAAAAGAACATTGACTTTCTGATAGATAGTTTTGATGGTATACAACTGATTAATCGAAAGCGTCATTAAAATTTCTACAAAAAGAGGTGTTTCATCCAACAACCCTTATCTGTTTCTGGAGATTACACCGTTCATATTTGTCACGGAAAAAGACACTGTGAATACATCCTTAACTAGAAAACATTGCGAACCTATCAACATGGACTGGATCCGATTTTAATCGGTTTTTACGTTGTATCAAACTAGTGTTTTATTCAAAATGTTAAGGTACACTGTACGAGAGCTTTTCATTAACGGTCCCAAATATCGTGAAATAGGAATAGGGGAATATGAATTTCAAGATACTTATGGACTGTGTTGAAAAACTATGCCAAAGAATGGACGAAACGAGAACAAGCTGTGTTGGATTCACTTTTTGAGTAGGTTAAAGGTGTTCGGTTCATTGTTCTTAAAAGAATTTGCAGCTTGAAGTCTAAAATGAAAACAAAACAGAGGTCAGCTTTCCTCGATCCTGATGTTCTTGTGCCCACAAATATGGAGTCCAATTACTCGAAGGAAATCCCACCGATGTATTATGAATTTTTCCAAAGAAGAAATACCGACTAATCATGCTTCGGTATTACAATCATTCAGAGTGCCTATTAATGATAAAGATACGGACCTTCCTCATTTAAGATTACCTATTAATGATACAAATACAGACCTCCCCCGATTTTATTGGATTCCTTAACTTCACAAGGATTCTCTTAAACAACGTTTCATTGCTGACTCGTCTAGCTGTTCAACCAAGCCTTTGTCAAAACTACTAACATTCTGAATGCTTCCAAATCTGGGTTACAGTCTGATTGTGATACTATTTACTGAAGAAGTGGAATTATTAGTAAGCAGATGATAAAGAACTCCAAAGACCGTATGACAATCGCTGTCTTCCTAGAACAATAGTTTCCATATGATCCTTTGATTTTTCCATTCTGTACAGCAACATACCACATTCTTAACTGAAAGACTGCCCTTGTTGTCTTGTTATTGGAGTTTTCTTCTCCACGAAAGGTGAATAACTGCACAAATATAGGGTTGTGAACTATACTGAAGCGTATTTCGGAAAATATCTATCCAAATCAAAGGAGAAACATGCGAAGAACAAAATCATAAAAGAAAATCAAGTTTCCGGTTGACAACCTATTCGTCGAGTTTGGTGGTATGGTTTTCCAACAGACTATTGCTATAGATGGAAACTAACTGTGCCCCTCTGTTGGCTAACTAGTTTTTGTATTCATACCAGGCTGAATTTATCGAATAGCTTATCAAAACGGGTCACAAAAAGTCGTTAAATTTCACTTTCAGATATACTACTGGAATCTTGTCTTTAAATAACAAGAAATGTATTGACGACGTCCTTCGTATATACCCACCAAAATTGTAAATCAAAGACACGACATACTGTTCTACATCTGCCGCTTATTTCGATCTTTTCAAATTTACAACGAAACCAACACGGCCAGCATTACATACTTGGATTGACCAAGATTCGAATGGCGGATGTCGTCGATGAAGCAGAAGACACATACTCTTTCGGAACATCTGGTCTTATTCTCCTTGTACTTTTCCATGAATCTCCGTGTAAAGGGGGGATATCTTATATCGCGTAGGTAAATCTATTACTTAAGGAGCTCAGTTTCCACTAAGATGTAGAAATATCAGAACATTTGACACTTCTATTAATGCAATTTGATGACTGACATGCCAAATCACGGATGAACTCATATATCCAAAAACGTCATTTTGTAAAATCTAAATTCGGTCATAATTACAACTTAAATTTAGTTTTTAATCAATAACATTAATCAACATAGGTTCAAAATCGCGTAAGTATGTGCTTCATTCCGCATTGTTCTGTTCTACTCATGCGAAAAATTCGACATTTTCCTCTGTAATTATGACCATACAGTCATTTTTATATTAAATTTGCTTCTCTTTTTATGTTTTTCAGGAAGAGTTTCGGCGACTTTACACTCAACTTGAGTTCTTAAAACAGAGGAATATGAAAATAGGAAATAGACATCTCCAACATAAACTGTCTGCGATGACAGAAGCAGCCCAGAAGGAGGATTCGCCTAATTCCTCGCCCTCTTCCCCAAGTATGAACGGGAAACGGGTTGTGATAAATCTGGACTCATTCAAGGAGGCGACAACTTTATAGCACATCTGTCCTGTTTCATTCGTAAAGGATTGGTGTCTTTTTCTTGAAAGGAACATTATATTGAATACATATGTTCAACTATGTTAAAAATATAAGGCGTTGATTCAGCACTCTTGAACGATTGAAATAATATGCATCTGTTGTGATATGAAATGATTAGGGACAAACTTAAATGACTAATTGTATGGCTGTGTGAATACGCAGTTGTATGTATATGTATATAGCATAATATATTAATAATGGTACTGCAATATATAGTTCCGAAATATAAAGGTGAAAGGTAATGCTTCGTAAGAAATAAGCAAATCCAAACGTATGAATAGTTTTTATGTGTTCTGAACTATAAGCACATCGGTAAGAGACAACAATTTCCCTGTATTCCTCGTTCAAAACATTCATGTTTATTCAAATACAATACGAATTCTTCGATTTAATTTTTGCCGTGAAAAGCAGGTTTCCTTCCGTTTAAATTTTCGCTATGTAATCGTAATCACAATGAATCCGATACACAATAATAATGATGTTTGCGTCTTCCTGGAATTTTAGATATCACATATTATTGGGAACCTGACTTCAGTGCGTAAGCAAGACAAATTAATTCTGAATTATTATCTATCAACTGTTAAAATTATATCTCAAGCATTTTGATATCTTACTACATGTAGAGATAACACACAATGAACTGGCTACATGGGATATACATGTATACTAGGATTGCATGCATTTACTAGTGTGCATATGATACGAAAAAAACAGTTGGTCAGGTTGCGGTCAAATCAGAGAAAGCATCAGTGAAGTTAATCGAATGATTAATAAATAAATAGTTTTCACTTCATAATATGCTCCATTTAACATTTTTCTTGAAGTTCGTCCCTTACAAAATCTATTATCCAACTTAATCTAATACAATGTATGTCATTGAAATCACATGTGTGACTGTTGACCTTGACCTATTCCTGGTGACTATTAGGACTGGAAATCAAAATGTTCAGAGCCAAATACTTATGTCCACAAGAAATAAGCCTGACACAGACAACAAATGAAACCGTACGACAGGAGTTATATAAATCGTAAGGTATCTCACTTGTCACAATAACCACGGACTTAATTTCAAAACGCTGTAGTAAAATCTTAGTAAATATCATAAGTAAATACTGATAACTGATTAGGATTAAACACATACGTTAGAACAGCAGAACAATCTCGCTTCAGACGTTGCCACTAATTCACCTGTATATTTATGTTTCCGTAGATCTTACCAAATGTTTACAAAAAGTACCTGTAAACACAATTAAAACATTACCTGTTCGCCGTAAAAATTGTCAATGAAAGGGTGGAAAGGTGCACAAAACGGAAAAGATAAACACAACAGTTTAAAATGTCACGCAAAGAAATAGAATATTCTCAATGAGATCTCTATGACGACAATAAAACTTCCCCATAATTTTCATCAACCTGCATCTTTTGATCCCTTGTGTTACAAGTTTGTTAGTCAGTTGACGACCTCTTACACGAAAATCGTGATAATGGGAGCAGGCCCTTGAATATCGAATCAGCTGTAACATATAGATAAGATAGGTTGGAAATGCAAGGATATTGCTATCCAGAAATGGAAAATTCACAATAGGGAAATTGAAATCATCACGTTTATCATACAGCTCGATGGAAAGCTGTCCATGTTGGTTTCGTTGTTGGAAAAGATCGAGATAACAATTATTTAACATAGGTACAAGTTTTCTATTTCAAACGTCAGCCACCAGATTAGAGCGTTAAGGTGCGCCTTTTTTCATTTCAAGAAGAACTTCATGGCGTCATGCCATCTTTATGTCCCCCTTTGCGTAATGATCAATACCTGTTATAGGATAAAGACTTTACAGTGACGTCACGATCAATATCAGTCATAGGTTTTAAACTTAATAGTGACGTCATAATGAATACCACCATATGTTTTAGACTTCCTGGTGACGTCATGATCGATACCAATCATAGGTTTTAGACTTCATGGCGACGTCATGTTTGATGCAAATCAGAGACAAAATCATTACATATTACAAAAAGAGTAAGTGGATCTTTTCACTTTCATTCGCTTGTAAATAGAACTGTCGATAAAAAACATGTTTGCATCTTTAAAAAGTTTTGCTCGAATTCGTTATACATATGTATGTACATAAACATTGATCGATGACAGTCTTCAATAATTAATTGACTTTGATCGAAATTGATAATCACTAAGGTGCTATGTACAGAATTCATATATATGTATGTTAAAGAGATGTAACAGACAGGTATCTTCTACCTATCCATTTACAAAGATTGTCAGTTATGCATGCCAAAGTAAATAGTCCAAATAAGGTTGATTTTTAACTCGGATTTCTCAAATAGGTTTTCCTGCTTAACACTAATTGATTAATCAAGATTATCATTGTTCTTAAACCAGGAAACGTTCTAATGACGAACTTCGTTTGGTTTTTATTAATGATCTATGGGTTATCAGAAAGAGATTGATGTATAGTTGTGTCGACATGAAATACAGGTTTTTGATGATCAAAGAAAAAATCTTTTACTTTATTGGTCACTAATAACGTCAATTTTTATAACACAGAACAGAATATACGCACACTTCCTTGTAGATGTACAAAATACCAAAGGAAAAGAAACACTTTTCATTTACAATTATGTAATATCTATCCATGCCTTCGAAAATATCAAATATAAAAAAAAGTTTGATCCTAACCAAAATAAAGTGGATTGGTCGGCTGGAACGAAAAATGAATGTTATGATTAAATGTGAGTAAAACTGACATTAGTGTGACTGTGATGTGTGTTATTGATGTGATATTGATTACCAAATATATATACACAATTATGTAATAAAATAAACATTGTATGTAATGTATTATTTGGGAAGTAAATTATAGAATATGTTGTCATATTAATAATTTTTCTCACACTATTATCATCTTGCAATGTTTTGACATTATCAGTCTGATTATATAAATAAATATTTGTTTGTGTCAAATTTAAGATTTCACGTCAAAATGACGTCACTTCATGCATACAATCATGTATATGTAATAATCAAATGTGTTCATTGAAATAAAAATTCCCATATGCTTTTTCAAAATTTGGCGTTTGTTATTTTCAATGTACTTGATATAACGGATTCTAACGTGGCGCTACCTGGATTTGAACATTGAAGAAAATTGTAACGAAAATATCTGTAAAGTGTATAAATACGGCACTATTTTTGATAATTCACAAATAGGCCTATTCAAATTCCATGTCCTGCTTTTGATTCATGTCAGGAGCATGTGTGTATAGAAAAAACACAGCATGTCAAGCGTATCAATAGATGCGGATACCAACATTGGGTCGCCTCCTAAATGTCATTAATCAAAGTCACTTTTTTAGTAAAAATATACAAGCTTTTCCGGGGAGTTCTTTCTCATTTCATATTTTTCACTTTTAAATAAAGATGATAAAGAACGTAGAAGACTGAATAAAACCTATCGTAATCATTTGGAGTTATATTTGCTTCCGTTTAGAATTGTGATTTATATTGCCACTAAATATTTGAAAAGTGTTCCGTTTTGAGTAGCGTTCTATTTTGGGTAGCGTTCTATATTGAGTAGCCTTCTATTTTGAGTAGCGTTCTAGTTTGGGTAGCGTTCTATTTTGGGTAGCGATCTATTTAGAGTAGCGTTCTATTTTGGGTAGCGATCTATTTTGAGTAGCGTTCTATTTTGTGTAGCGTTCTATTTTGGGTAGCGTTCTATTTAGAGTAGCGTTCTATTTTGTGTAGCGTTCTATTTTGGGTAGCGTTCTATTTTGGGTAGCGTTCTATTTAGAGTAGCGTTCTATTTGGAGTAGCGTTGTACTTTGAGTAGCGTTCTATTTTGGGTAGCGTTCTATTTTTAGTAGCGTTGTATATTGGGAAGCGTTCTTTTTTGAGTAGCGTCACGTTACGAAACCAAGTTGAAGACAACACCTTCCATAGTATCGAGATAAACCACTTTCCTGCATTGTGAAAGTATTACAACTAGCATACCTGCGTCATTTAAATAAAATGTACGACAAAATGCTTTATACAACAGTATCTATAATGAGGCACAAAAGTCTTCTTTTTATATTTTCTTACTGTCGTATCGACTTTATATTGTTCAAATCATATCCTGATATGAAATGTTGAATCGGTATCGTTTCATCGGAATGAGTAATACGTTGTAGACTCAAATTTGATTTTGCAATATAAACCAGTATGTCATAGCTTTACTCTTTTATATACATTATACTTTTATATACACATATAGATAGTGTTTTAATACAAGTTAAGAATTTGATACAGTAGAGTTAAATAATTAATTAAACTACATCATACAACTTTTTATCATTTAGGACTCGTCAATGATTCTACGGGCCTAAATTTTGAAACCCAGTAGGTGACACTGAGGAAAATCTAAACTTATCAAAACAAATGTCAAAATTTAGATGTGGAGATGCATACGTCCAATTATCGAATAACTTTCGTAATTTCGTGATTACAAAAGTACATACACAGGTTAAGTTAACCTACAACCACACTGATTAAAACTAGATCCTTATCTTCTACTGAGGCACGGTAACAATACTTGCCATTTTATCTGTTGTTAAAAACGTTATTTTTGGCCTTCCATCGAAGGAAATTGTTTCGGAATGAGATTACTCTATATTGAAAGGTGTAATTCCCCGATTAGTTTCAACAGATATTTCGTCAAACAAAGGTCCGTTGGTGCTATTAACGATATCTAACATATTTTATCCTCCTCTTCGATATGAAGGATTCTGGATAATAACACATGTACTGGTATTTTTTGGACTTACGCAACTAAATCTGGGGGTTTAAATTTATAATTTTAATATATAAAAGAATTTGCATTTTATGGGTTTCATGAAAATGTATAGTTTTACACATTCGAATGTGTCTGGGGCGGATTTAGACAGGTGTAAAATGTTGAGGTTTTTCCAAAAGTGGGTTTGCTAGTTTCATATGTCAGCTTCCGGTCGTTGACTTCTGAAGGTGATGACAGTTCGAGATGCCATTTAACATACTAAACTGTGCCATTTGTGGCCTTTGACAGATATGTTTCTATGAATATAGACAGTTATTACTTGTGTTGAACATCAAATATTAATGCTATAAGCTTAAATGTCAATTTATTACAGACAGTGATT